ATATATGTATATTTGAATACTCTTATCAACAAATATGGTTGTTCCGCCTTGCTTTCATCTATTTTAATTGTTTTAGCAAATTTTACTTTTTAGAAAATGCTAAATAAATATTTGTTCAATTTCAGCATGTTTAATGTCTCATTTACATAATTAAATGTAAATTGCATTGATATATTTGGCCCCTGATTTTGACCACTGAAAAACTCAAATCAGTCCACTTGTATAAATGTTCAAATTTTTTAAAATAAAATATTATTATAATTGAATAAATATTCATATAATAATAATAATAATAATAATAATAAGGAGAAAAGAAGAAGAAAAACATATCATTATTATTATTTATTTTTAGTTTGTGAATATATTATATTTATATTATCTATTGTTTTATCTAAAAAAAATACAGATTGCAGGGTTTCCCTGTAGCTAAATTCAATATTATAAACTCTATAAATAAAACAAAAGACATAACATGGTATTCCACGACCCATTCAAGCTGTGCCAGGGCACAAAGGCCTTACCATCATCCAAGTACTAATCAGGCCTGTGCAAATAGAAGCTCTTTCTTAATGAACTACAGGTCAACAAAAAAGAGCATCTCGCACCACAAAGTCTGGGGTGGATGATCCCTTCAAAAGCCTGAACTTCATGCATCCTTATCTTCACAATCCTCTAATGCGTGAGGGGTCGGCCTGCTGCATGCGTTTCAGGACCGTGCCGAGGTGTTAGATACTGAGCTAATTAGAACTAGGACTCTGCTTTAGATACCCTTGACCCTGTGACTGATATGCTAATGTGGAGCTCAATATGCAGTTTACAAAGCACTGGGAGGAAAGGATTTAGACAATTTAGTTGTTTACCTCAAATCAACATTTAACCGAGCAGGACAAGAAAAACACTTCACATTAATGTGCTAATCAACCTTTGATGCTTTCGGAAAAACTAAGAACGCTTTGAAAAGAAAGAAGTGAACTCATTTGCAGGGAGGTCGGAGACTCTAAATCCACATTTCAGTGAATTAACAGTGACCAGTGACATGTTTAATGAGTTAAGCGCACACTTTGTGTTTTTTTATGTTTTTGTTTGTTGTTTGGTTTTGTATTGTGCGAGTTTGCTGTATTCTTTAACCTAGTAGGCCGTGTTAAATGCAGAAATCATGACCTTTGTGTCAGTTGTATATTTGGAATCCCATTCGATGGCTTTTGGCATCATATTCAGAGTTTAGAACTCTCTCATCCTTTATTTCATCAGCAAAGTCACAGAAGTCAGTTCTTCTGATCTTGTCTGAAATGTGTGTGTTGTCTGGGACCAGTCTAAATCGAATTATTTCAGGTCAGCACCGGGCAGGAAGGAGCAAAAAGTGACACGTTGTGGTCTGGGAACCATTTCCTCAGAGCTATACTCACACTGAAGCCGTAATCCACAAGCCCAGGCCTTACACCTCAGAGAAGAAAACGAAATGTACATGAATCAAACAAAAGTACAACATTTTGTTTTATTATCGTCATTTGCACATTTTGCACGTAAAACTGTTGAACAAAACTGTTAAAAATCTTTTAAACTCTTTTAAACTTTTATAATTTGCCGTATTAAAAATAACTGTCTTCCTGAGTTCCTATGAGGCCATAAATGGTAAAAGTCAGTTGTCTAAACAAAAACCTGTGAACAACTGACACATTACACACACTTCACAAAAAGAGGCGTTACTCTGAGAGAGCAAGCATTTAATAAAAAGCAGAAAGTAAGACATTTAAATTTTTTAACATTTTGAATAAATCCCAAAGTAATTTTAAAAAATAAAAACATGAATGCATAAATAAATGCACTTTTAATAAATTAATTAAAAATATATACTGTCCAACATTCATGGCTTTCTGTGATTCAAAAGAACTTTCCTTCTACCTCGTACTTCAGATACACAATACTATATGTTAGGGAGAATCAAAAAATATTAATAAATAAAAAGAATGAATGTATTAATAAATGCATTTCTAATAAATTAATGAATAATTGTAATAAATGAAAATAATACATACATAAAAGCATTTCTAATGCATAATAAATAGATAAATAGAAAAATAAACATAAATACATAAAATAAAATAAAAATCCTAAATAAATACATTTCTGAATAAGTAAATGAATAATACATTTCTAACCAGTTAAATGTAGTTTTAATTCTTAAACAGCAGAAAAGCAATAAAATACATCAAGACCTGTGTAAAATAAAATTGCATAGCCCAGTTTTGATTGACTTGCTTTGCATTGTTGATTAAAACAATTTTTGACTGATCTGACTGAAATGGAAATTGACTGATTTTCTATTTATGTGGTAAGTAGTACTGAACTCAAAACAGAAGTGCACAGTTCCAACACAAGCACATCAAATTTATTTCCATAAATAAAATCTCCAGACTTTAAATCTAAATCTATCTTGACCTTGTCCTGTACCAGTGAATGTTATTTTACCGCTGCGGTCGCCACCTCCCACCTGTGCTTGAAGTGATGTGAGTTTTCCCAGAGACCCCCTGCCCCTGGTGTGATGTCTCTCTGCCGCTTTGAAATTCTTAAGCGCCTTCTGGAGGTGCAACATCACACCTCTTCATCCAGGATATATTGGGCTGCTGCCTCCAGCTCTGTAGTATTCACTCAGGTACCAGAGAACGAGACGGAAACATCTCCTCTGCTTTGGAAAGATCACAACCATGGAGTTGAACTTTTCTCCTTATATGCTCCAGGGAGCTAAATGCCAGTTTGAATATGAGCGATCATCTACCACCATTGATGCTGGGTATTTCAGTGCCTGTGGCAGCTTTTCTCCAAGTTCCTCTATTGATTCTGGATGTTTTTCTCCTCCTGTGAGCTGTTGGGGAGCTGGAAGACAGCCAGAGGCCGCTGGGATCGACTGCGTACCAGCTAAAAAACCCAGATTAGTTCTACCTGCTGATGGAAAGAGACATTCCAGGTCCAAATACCCTGGAACGAAGCGTCAGACGGCCAGTGAAAGAGAGAAGCTCAGGATGAGGGATCTAACCAAGGCTCTCAGTCATCTCCGAACCTACTTACCTCCTTCTGTGGCTCCTCCTGGACAAACCTTGACCAAGATCGAGACCCTTCGCCTCACTATTAGCTACATCTCGTTTCTTTCTGCTCAGCTGGAACAGTCTGAGGAGACCTCCAACCATGAAACAACACCAAGATGCTACTCACAAGATACTTCAGATAGGTTTCAGAATGGTCTGCCTTCAGAAACTTGGTGTCTGGATGAGCCACAGGGACTTGTGCAAGACAATGTCCAGTATCGTCCAGCATTCATGACCTTCAGTGATTCAGCACAACAGATGGAAAACAACTTTCCTGCTACTTCACACTTCAGAGATGCACAATCCTATATGGTAAGGAGGCTTTTCATTATTTGCTAGATACTGAATTTTCATTTAATAACTATAAGAGTTGTATTTGTTTGTTGCACAGTGATTTAATTACAATTTTATCTTTTAACAGTTTCCCTGCACAACAACACATGATGCTACAAACAGCCATCAGTTTTTCCAACGAAGAACACAAGAGGATAGGAGATGAGGCCACCTTATGCTAAAATCAGATGATCACTGCGTGAAAACTTCATCTAAAGGCTTTATTTGTTTGTTGCATTAATTATTTGTAATTATTTATCAGATAACATATATTTTTTAATTGAATACATTTGTATATATTTCTTATTTATTGACTTTTTGTAAATAAATGCTTTGAAAATTTACAAATTATTTGCATTTTCTCCATTTTCTCTCATAAGTTTAATCATGAGAGCATAGTTCAAACTTTCTTAAAAAATAAAACTAATAAATTTGACTTAATTAAATAATGACCTTGGGTACAGACAAAACAATGAAATTCATATATTAAACCCGGCTTAAGTGTACAAATATACTAGCTCATTACAAGCTTTCCTGTTAAAACTAAGCTTAAATTTCTTGGATTTGATTATTATAATAAGATGTTACTTAATATTTCAAAATGTTCTGTGCACTCTACTGAAAAACCAGCAGCAGTTTAATAAAGATTTAATATTTAATAAAGAATTAAAAAAAAAAATTATTTGTATATATGTTTATTATTGTTTTACTTCTTCTTCTTCTTCTTTTGGTAACTGTTTGGCAGTTACCAAACATTCTTATAGTCATTTCATTGTATTTTTTAAGTCAAGCAAATCTAAGTTTATTTCTTAATATTATAAAATGTTACTCTATTTATTTGTGTAGTTTCAATACTCTTCATGATTCTGTGTCAACATGTTCTTCAGAGGCTGAAAATGAAATTAATGAGTGAGCAGAAAACACAAAAATGAAAAAGCATATTCCTGTAATTTACCAGTATTGGGGGTACGCGAGTTACGTAATCAGATTACTTTTTTCAAGTAACTAGTAAAGTAACACATTACTTTTTTAATTTACAAGAAAATATCTGAGTTACTTTTTCAAAAAAGTAACGCCAGTTACTTTGTTTTCCCATTTATTGACTGACAAGTCTCCTGTCCCCATGTTGGGAGAAATTGGAAGTAGAGAGGTGTTGTGTGAACATGATGTTACTGTAGTTCTAGACTAAATGTGAATGTGCATTAATTCATCCCACGCAAAAAAAAACAGATTTAGTATTCATCCAAATGAATTAAAACAGTGAAATGCAAACTCAGAATATGACGCAAACCTGCAATAATTAAATATGTTAAATAACACAAATGTATCTAATCCCATTTTATTAACCAATGTCTTTGCTGCTGACATTTGATGATCTAGTTCAACCATACTAATAAGCAAAAATGACTCAAGATAAACTAACAATTGTGCTTCATTGTTTTTTTTTATTGCTGAAGTGTTGAACCTTCTCCAATGCATTACTTTTAAAAGTAACTTTCCCCAACACTGGTAATTACATTCTTAATTTAGTACAACATATTAGACCTTTGTGACAATTGTCATATGTAATGTTTTCTATTCACAGTAAAGTTGGAAATGTTCCTTTTTAGTGAATTCACTCACAGGAAGCAGAAGAATATTCACTTTTAGCTGTGAGTATAAAAATAGGTCAAACAAAATTAAGAGTATCTTTCCTTTACTCTAAGCCTGTGAGGCTCGTTAAGTTTGTTTTTGTAAATGTAATGTTTTCTACTACCTGTATGTCTTTTCTTACATATAATTATAGCAGCTCCCATCCCAAACACCAACACTAATGCCAAAACCATTAGGGCTGAGGGGGGAAAAATCATTACCCAACTCAATGTCCAGACTGAGGTGTGTGACAGAGCAGGTGTATGTGTGTTTGTCTGCAGCACTGATCTCCAGACTCTTCCTCATCTGGTACGTCCCGTCAGCATTGGGCAGCAGATCTCCTCCAGTGATCTCATGATCAGCTACAGGCTGCCCATCTCTGAACAGGGTCAGGTTGATGTGACTAGGGCAAAATCCTTTTGCCAGGCAACTCAAACATGAATTTCCAGAACCTGTGTTTAATTTCTGAATTAAAATAAATATGGAATATATATCACTTTTAAAGCATGAAGTATAAAATATATTAATATCCTACTGTAGATTATATTTAACTTTGGCTCAAATCTATATAGAAAAGAAATTAGGGAAAAGCATATTTTAGACTTACCTTTCCTCATTATTTGAGATCTGCTTTTAAGAAAAGTCTTGAGAGTTTTTATGCAGCGTGGAAAGCATAACATCTCATGATACCACATAAACAGCTGAAGATAAGGATTTGTGTTCTCATCCGAGTATTTTAAGGGACCCTTATATGTAAACTTGCCACCAAAACATCCCACTTCTTCTGTTGTGGAGTCGTCAAAAGCAGTCTTGGCAATCATTTGTCCAGGTTTATTGTTGTCCCGCAGACAAAGACCAATTTCCTGATACATTTTTGGGCCTCCTGACAGCAGGGGAAAGTGTGAGATGTGAAAGCAGTCCAAAGTTTGGTCTCATATTGAAATGCCTGTAATGTCTAATAATAAATATTAGCAGAGTATAGGAAACTGTATGCAGTGTAAGGAACTGTCTCATCAGAAACCAATACATTTTAATTCAATTTACAGTAAAAACTATAATAATGTTACTTTTTATAACATACTGAATATCTTTTATAAAAGAAACTTGAGATGATTTTAAGTCTGTACTTCTTCATTCATAAGCTACACAAAGTCAAACTACAACATTTAATCTATTCACAACATATCTGTCTCAAAGCAAAGTATGTTTTAGCCAATGAACCTATACTTTCTGTATGGTTTTCACTCTTTGATATTTCCACAAATACTGCGGCTGTCACTTGTGTTAAATGTATCTTCATTAGTATTTCCTCTTGGAAAGTAACTCCAAGTTTCCGAATTGTATCCTACAATGGTGTATCCCCTTTAATGTAAGTTGCAAGCACCCACAAAGAATGAGAACCTGTGAGAAACATTTCATCTTTTACATTTGTTTATAGTAAAATTAATTAATTTAAAAAGATCAAACAATTGACAACTGCTTATAAATAACAAGTATGGTATATTCAAAGATAATAATAAGAAGAAGAAGAAGAAGAATAAATGTCTTCATGGAAGTTAAACTGACAGATTGCCATGTCATAAATTTAATAAATACATGCACATTTTATTAAGTAACGCAAAGAAGTCATGAAAATTGTCCCCTTATTATTTACATAGTTTTAGATGGTTCAATATTATTTGCTTCATATCATGTATATTGTTTGTTACTATCAGTACTCTCAAGAAATATCTTACACCTTCAGACAAAGACTTCAAGACTTGGTACATGAAACAAACTGATGATTTAAAATAGAGAAATAAATGTCTCCTTACGTCACAAGACAACATCAGTAAGACTTAACAACAAAATCATCAACAACAGTACATTAAAATAGAAAACAGTTAATGCCAGCATAGCTATTAGTTATTCATGTTGCCTACACTAATTAATTAAAAACTTGGTTAGTTTTCAGCATCGTTTAATAACATATACAGTGTAGTCTACGTGTTGTACAATGTTTACTTTGCCTATCAAGAATTCCACGTTTATAGCAATTACAGATTAGAATCTAAGAAACATTCAGTGTGTATATGAATTATAATATAAAGCATGTTTTGCTGCACCGGTTTCGCAGGTAAATCCTATGAAATCATACATGTTAAAACAGATGTTGGAACTGAAAACACATACAGAAGAGTAAATAAATTGTTCATCTTGTTCTCAGGCTAGTGAAAACCCATCCATAGATCATAAAAATGCTGTTATGTAAAGCAACATGGAGTGTACGAGTCAAGTAACAAGGTGTGGAAAATTATCAGTTATGTCAGGTTGTTTAAGGTTGCAAACACATTATAAACACACAGGTCAAAATTAGAGGCTGTCCTTTCAATTGATCATTAATTGGCAATCTTTTGAAACTTTTTATTTGGATGTGAATTTTTTATAAATTTGTTAAAATTTCTACCTGATGTGCCATTCAGATTCCTGAAAAACATAATCACTGACACGTACATTTTAGTATGCACATGTGGCATGTAGCATACAGTGACTTAATGATATATTATAATGGAGGTGTTGCTCTTTGTGTAAAATGTCAATATTTTTTGTTTTTGATGCCAACAATCAGATGTCAAATTGCATTGTAAAACATACTTGTCTGATACATTACACCATGGTTAAATCTGACTCGTCTGAGCAATTACAATCCCTGTAATGAAAAAAAGCACCGGTCAGTTGAACTTAACAAAGCTATAAGTACACAAAATAATGTGTTTTTTGAACCTTAAACCGCATAAACACATTTCATTACACCAAATACACAAAATAATGTTCTTTTTAGCAGCATCATATGACCCCTTTAAGCTTAGCCTTCAGAGTTTTCATGCAAAATAAGTAGTAAAATGGTTCGTAACGAGATTGGAGAAATTGTCGAAATGCGTTGACTTTCTCCGTATTGAAGGAAGAACCAAAGGTTGTCTTCCTATTAAGAAAATTAAACTCGACTATGGTGGATCCTCCTGTAGCACCTTTAACAGTAATTTGTCCTGACTCGATGTTGTCCAACATTTCACAATGAACCAGTTTCTGATGAACCTCAAGATCTGTAAGCGAGGAGGAAAGTGAGTGTTCAGCCAGGTCACAGGCCAAAAAAGAAAAGTTTTTCCTTCACAGTATGTAATACTGTAATGTTTATTACTTGTAACCATTGTTAACACACTGAATATGAAAAAAAAGTTATTGTGAGGACATAATCATATCATTATCCACTCTTACAGAAATATTTGTCGCCAGACAAACTGCACATAAAATCCTCACTGTAGAATGCAAAACTTACTGTTTGTATGATTATGAAGTCCACTCTCCAGTCTATATTTTATAAACCTGTATAAATCTTCACTTATTTCCTTGTGATAATTTTCATTCAAATCATCATCCTCTACAGTTTTATTTCCTCTCATGGTGTAGAACTTTGTATCTGAATCATAGTATCCAATTATGATGTCATCCAACATATATGTGATACCAAATTCAGGAAAGGGTGACTGCCCTTTAATATAAGTTGCAAGCAACCGTAATGAGTGACAACCTGTGAGAAACAACAACTAAAACAATCAACAGAACTCAACAATGAAGTGCACAGTAATAAGAGATTCAGTAAACTATACAGAGAAATAGACATTTTTCATAAGCTGTTGGGAAAGTCTGCCTTGCATAACAAAAATAATAAATAATATTGACCTCACTATGTTATGTATAATGTTGAGTAGAAATACTTTTAGTGGTTTGGTCTGGTGACTCGCATTTGGTACTCGTACTATCAATGTGACAAAAAAAAAAATCCCATATATTCCAAATGCAACATTGTAAAATACAAACAAATAGCAGGGGTAAAATCTGAAAGTGAAAGTATTGTGTAGTTATTTGTTAAATTACTACTTTGCACATATAAAGACATGTAAAACACAATAAAACATTTACATTTTCAAGAGTACTTACCCTTTGAAGCAATTGTTGGTAGTAAGAGCACAAACAGTAACAAAATTCTTTCCATATTGTTGAGCATGTATGGTGTATAATTCTCACACATTATATTCACCTAGCTGGAAAATCAGGTTTGTGCACATCTATGACCTAAATACTTCAGTTGTTGTTTTATTTTCCGTGTAATAGGTATAGCTGAAATATTTCATTCCTAAGTAAGTAAATGTTGTTGGAAGAGAGTTAAGGCAAGGATCTAAAAGCATTTATTTAACAAAACCAAAATAAGTCATAGAAGAGAACTATGAAACACGATCAGGACTAAAAACCACACCATACACACAAGAACAGAAATAACAGCTGAAACTGAGGGCTATAAATACACAAATTAAATGAGGATCTAAACAAGAAATGGGTGAAAATCATGAGTAACCAAGGGAACAGATTAACAGGAAGAAAACAAAGAGAAGAGGGAGAATGCAAACTAAAAGTTCATAAGTAAAACAAACAAAAAAAAAAAGTGAAATTATGGGAAGTTAGAATAATTTCAAATTGCAGTTAATGATTTGTAAGTCAGCAAAACAAAAACCAAACTAAATTATGTGAAGATAAACAATAAATCTGCAAATGTCAAATTTTAGATTTTGAAGAGACGATGAGACAAAAAGAACTGTTTGATTTTTTCATTAGACCATTTTAATTCATTTCAGCTCTTGTCTTACCTACATGCCACTTTCTCCATATAATAACAGCAGCCCCAAAACACCAACACCAGAACCAGGTCTGAGGAGTCTTGAGGTGGCTTTCTGGATGAGCTTTTCACTGGGAATAAAAAGATCTATCTTACCTATATGAGCTCAGTGGCTCAAATGTAAATTTTGGGGGAGAACATGCTGGAGAACAACCTTTCTTATTCACTTGAGTTGGTCTCTTTTTAAGGTAATTCCTGAAAGTTGCTATGCAGGATGTTTATTGTCTCATGACGCCACTTGAACAGCTCAAGAGATAGAGTTGCCATTTCTTTTGGGCTCTCATATATAAACTTGTCATTAAAATGCATTTCATCTGTAGTGGAGCTGCTAAAAAGAAACTTAGAGATCATTTGACCAGGCTTATCATTGTCCCGCAGCTCACAGTGACTCTTCACCTGATAAAGTCGATGACTTGTCAGATCAGAAAAAAACATAACCTGTGTCATGGCCCCATAACATGACCATGCTCTGTCAATCTCAACATGCCATATTTTAACCAACTGAACATACTTTCTGTATATTTTTTTCCACATGACTATAATCTTCCCATATGTAAAGGCTGAAAATCATGCCTCATTGCATAACAGATGTAAGAAACAATCTCATCTTCATTTGTAGTATTATCTCTAGAAATGTATCTCTTTGTCTCTAATTATAGTGTCCTACTGCCATATCATCCAACATTAGTGTGATGCTAAATCCAGGAAATGACTTCTCTCTGCCTTCAAAGGATTATGTTTAAACTTGGGGTTAAAAAAAAAACATCTAGAGTTCCATATGTAGCTATTATTTTGTATGGACTCTAGTGTAAATTAATAACAACTTTGCTTTGTTTTCAAAAGTAACCCTACATGAGTTTGTGACTTTCACTTTCATTTTTGAACAATCCCCCAAAAAACTGAACATCCTCAACAAGATGATTTCTAAGCTAAATAATAACTGTGCTGGCTAACCTATATGTAAGAAAACACTGAAGACCTCTGAGATAATTTTACAACACATGATAACGGATACACAAGATGGGGCCAGTTGCATTTGTATGAAAAAAGATGGTATGATAGGACAGACATGAATGTAGTGCCGGTGTCCTGACATTTTATCCTACCCGTCAGATTGTCCTACCAGGGTTTACTGCGCATGCGCACATCACTATTGTGTCCTTTTTCTCACGCTGAATAACATTATTTAATATATCTGCATTACTGTAAGGATAGGTTTATGGTTGGGGTAGGTGTAGACTTTAATAAAACACAATCTAATAGGTAGAAAAAATTATTTATTGTTGGTTTCCTGTAGCTGTATATAACACACAATTACTGTATTTGCATTACTGTAATTAGGTTTAGGGTTGTGATGGTCAGACTTAAACTTTCAGTTCAGAATTAAATATTCCAGACAGTGTCACCGTATAATAATGACTTTAATCTTCTTCTAAAAATATACATTAGCTTGAGTGAACAACATGAATTTGTTACACAAGAGGCAAGCAGCTGAAACATAGTTAGCTAGGCAAATGCACAGGGTTGGGGAGTAACGAAATACATGTAACGTTGTTATGTAGGCTATTTAATATACAAAATATGAGTAAATTCGTTATAGTTACATTTATGTAACTATGTATTTTAGATTACCAAAGTGATTACTTTGAATTTTAATGTCATTAATTTAATTTAATAATAATAATGTACAATGTTTGGAATTTTTTGCCAATGAGGCAACTATCTGAAGGAAATAATGAGAAGAATAGCAAAGTGCAGTAAACGGTAAAACCGTTTGCACTACAAGTGTGTTCATAATTAAGATAATAAATTAAAATAATATGGTAAGATACAACAGTTTGCAATATCACGCAGCAAAACGAGCCGTTTTGTACAGCTAAAAATAACTGAAAGCAGACGACACCGGAAGCCAGACACATTAAATTTACTAATAAAAATCTGCCATTGTTGACAGAGGCTATTTACAGTAACTTCACCCACCAATATCTAGTTGGGATAGACATCATTACAAAAGATGCCTATCAAATAACAGCATGGTGTAGGTAGTAAGAAAGAAGTAGTAATAGATCTGATGCGATCGACGAAAGTTCGAATCCGCCTTTTGCCAAACTCGTTCTTTTCCCGTTTTTCTCCCTTTTCCCCATCATATCAGATCTGAAAGGCATTTGTTTTCAATAAAAATGAAGGAAATATTCGAAAAGTGGAAATAAGGTGGCATCCATTTAATAATTTTAATAAACATAATTTACACTCAATATGTTATTGCATACTGTTTTATAATGTAGACCTACTAGTACTGAGGTGCAAATATATCTGCAACCATTTGCACTAAGCATAAATAGCATCTAATTACTATTACACTTAATGCAAAGAAAATACTACTATTTTTGCATAGTGTAGGCTAAATAGAATCTATGGTTATTTGCACTTAGTGTAACTAGATCTATTAGTGTAAATATCACTTAATGTAAATAGTATATATTCCTATTTGCACTAAATGCGAATAAACTTCCTAATAAATCCACAGCAGAAGAGTTGCGTGTCTGTGAGCAACACAGTGCTGTTTGGTCCCTGAATGAATCCACGTTTTGAAGGAATCGGCTGAGCGAATGATTCAATTAGCCTACATTCAGAAAATCGCTTCATTCCTGAATGAATCAGTCCTTTTGAACGAATTAAATGATTCCGTGAGTCATTCATTAAGATAGCTTTGCCACCACTTACTGGAGGTTTTAGTTTCATATTTAAAAACAATCATAACATTTCATAAGATGTATTTTTAATTACTGAATAATTGACAAATTTCAAAGGAAAAAACAAAAACACACAGCACATGCTTTAAACAGTCAACACTGAAAAGACAGTTAAAGACTCTTAACTTATAAAAATCTAAACTTATCATTTTGTTTTGATTTACATTTCGGTTTGTATGCATTTGCTTTTCAGACTTACAATGATAATTTAGCAGCTGAAAGCACATTGTTGTTCTATTTAGCTATTGATCAACAACTCAGCATGCAAATTACACTTAAAACTTGTAGAAGGAGAGAATTTGGTTGAGAAGATATATCTAAGCAAATTTTAAGACCTAACAAATTTAAGTTTGCAAAAATTGATTTTATAGAATTCTTTTGAAATTCTACCTTTTGGAGGACCTGAGCAAAAGTAGGAAAAAAAAAAGTGTAGTTACTCTTTGAAAAAGAAAACCCTTTAGGCGGTTTGTCAGAATAACTGTTTGTTGTTTAAAGAGCCTATTTCTCCAATCATGTTATTTTGTGGCATGACATTCACATAATGTTTCCACATTTTCTTCAGATGCTTGCGATTTAATGTTTAATCTTAAAGACAAGCTACAGCTCATTATGTGAATTTTATTGTAACTACCAAATAAAGCTGGAAGTTTTTAGTCAGTAGTACCACACAAAAACTAACAATTAAAAACTTGTAATTTTTTCGTGTGAAATTTATTTTAATTGCCTGCTAAATAAATACTGATCAATAATACCAATACATAGTATTTTCCACAGTTCATTTTGAATGACAAGAAGTACTTTTGTTCCAATTGTACCCATGTCAGGTACGGTTGAAACAGTACAATAGTAAAGTTTAAACACTAATCTTTAATGCTCTAAAGTAGCTAAAATAACTAAAATGTTAAAATGTCTTGAAAGATATCATTGTAAAAAAAATTACCTTCAGCTTTTCTTTTTATTCCTGTTCTTTATAATATACAACTAATAATTTGCTATTCAATAGCAAAACATCTAAGAGTTAAATGGCTCACAGTTCATCAGTAAATCACTGATAAGGTTAAGAGTTCAAATTATGTGAGCTTTCAATAATGCGAGGTCAAAGGCATTGGGCAGCAGATCTCCTCCAGTGATCTCATGATCAGCTACAGGCTGCCCATCTCTGAACAGGGTCAGGTTGATGTGACGAGGATAAAATCCCGTTGCCAAACAACTCAAACGAATCCCTCCAGAATCTGAGTTTGCTTTCTGAATGAGTCTGAATTGCGGTTTCACTGCAAAAGAAAAGAAAGGCAGAGAAAAATGAGTAATAAGGGAATATTACCTATAAATGAAAAAAATTATGGCTATTGATTGTAGATAGCATTATACCTTTTCTGTTTAGTTGAGTTTCTCTCTTTTTAAGGTAATTCTTCAGCATTTTTATGCAGGCTGGGTAATATAACTTCTCAAGACGTGACTTGGACAGTTCAAGATTGCGTTTTGTTTCTGGTTCAGTGTAATTTGAAAATACCTGATATGTGAATTTGCCAGCAAAAATATGCAGCTCATCAAATGTAGAGCCTCGATAAGCGGTTTTGCTGATCATTTGTCCAAGGTTATTGTCACTCTGTTCACAAAAACCCATCACCTGATGAACTACATGACCTGTTTGGAAATAAAGACAGCGATATTTCAACACATTTGGCATCAGGAGCCCTTTGAAAAGTCTTGCAATAAACTCTCTCTTTCTCTCTTTCAGCTAGCTCCCATCAGGTGTCACCACAGCAGAATAATCCGCAGAATAATCGATGTGTTTCTGTTTAGTATGTTAGTCAATCCTGTTCATAGATGTCAAAATAGAATTAATTGTTTAATCGGTGGTCTCAAACTCAATTCCTGGAGGGCAACATCTCTGGAGTTTAGCTCCAACCAGCTCCAAATCACACCTGCTTGGAAGTTTCTAGTAATCCTAAACACCTTGATTAGCTGGATCAGGTGTGTTTGATTAGGGTTGGAGCTAAACTGTGCAGAGCTGTGGCCCTCCAGGAATTGAGTTTGCGAACACGGATTTAAATACAGGTGCATCTCAATAAATTAGAATGTCGTGGAAAAGTTCATTTATTTCAGTAATTCAACTCAAATTGTGAAACTAGTGTATTAAATAAATTCAATGCACACAGACCGAAGTAGTTTAAGTCTTTGGTTCTTTTAATTGGAATGATTTTGGCTCACATTTAACAAAATCCCACCAATTCACTATCTCATAAATGAACTTTTCCACGACATTCTAATTTATTGAGATGCACCTGTAGTGGGTGGAGATATTGGATTGAATCACACTGAAGAAAACCTGCGAGCAAAAATGTTTTTTTTCTCCATGTGCAAAATAATATAACCATAAATAGTTAATTTCGAGTGTGAATCACAGCTGAATTATTTTTACACATATATTGTAAACAATGTATTTGTTACAAAACCAAACCCTTTTTTACTTAACATCATTTTCATGTATCTTCATGTATTTACATATCTTTCATTCATAAACATCAAACACAGTCATGCAGTGATAGAAACTACTCATGCAATATCTGAGCCAAATCACTATAGCCAACTGAACTTACTTTCTGTGTCGTTGACAGGTCTCAGGCGATGTGATCTTTCTATAAAATGAACAAGCACATTTTCACTTACAGCCCTGAGGATATTTGGATCTATGAGATCATCTTCATTTGAAGTATTTCCTCTTGCAACATAGATATTTGTTTCTGAATTATAATATCCTACAGTGATGTCATCCAACATAATTGAAGCACTAAATGCTCTTTCTCCTCTAATGTAAATTGCAAGCCCCATCAAAGTGTGAGAACCTGAAACAACAGACAAAACATCTGTTAATTAGTAATTCATCAGTGGGAGGTTCTAGTGTCAGTGCATACAACCCTGATAGAACAGGTACATCATGGAGACATCGATTTACATGAAAATGTAAATTTCATGTAAATTTCTATTCCCATTTACATCTGCAAGACTTTTTTTTTTTTTTTTAGAGTGTTTGCTCATCTGCACTATGTCTATAGGACATTTCCTATCAGATGTCAAATAGACGTTTAGAAAATATCTTTAAGATGTTTATGATTTAGAATGTATGTAAAAGTCCCTTGGCAACAGGTATATAATGCGGAAGTCTTCGTTGAAAGACCTGTTACACAAAAAATTATCCTCCCCCTTCAAATATGTTACAATAATTTACATTTATGTTACATTTGCCGTTTAAATAAACCATAAATCTCACATATTGCGGCAGGGCATCTTCCTTTATAAATATTATGAATTTGCTTAACCAAATCTCTACAACACAAGGGCAGATCCCTTGAGCGCGGCTGATGACGCTTTGAAGTGAGGCTCGAGTGATCAAAGATAGCCTATCCCAACATACAGATCGATTCCTCTGTCCTCATTGTCTTTGGAGTGGAGCTAAGACGCGAGGAAAGGAAACGAGGATGCAAAAATAAGAAATGAGAAGCACCCGTAGTTTACCTGGCGCTAGCAACGTAAAATTAGTGGTTTCAGTTTCAATGGAACTGCGCAATGCTCTAATATGAATAAACATTCTAAACAAATTAAAACATGCTTCTTATCAAGTATACGGTGTAATCATACCTGCAAAAACACAAACCGAAAGCAAAAGGAAACACGCAAGCGCACAGGCTGTGTTCATTTTGTTGTTGAAAACATCTAGGATAATGCAGTTTTGATAATCACAGAGAATTTTAAAAATTCAAGTTTTGAGAATCAGCTGGTGAAATATGAACCGTTCGACCCTGTCCCAAATGGGACACTTCATGTAAACTTGCGGTGTGGACTTCGCCGCCGCGCGCGCGTGTCCTTTAAATCCAAGAGATCGAATGATGTTCCTATCGTCATAGGTTTAAATATGCTCCCGAGCGTCGTCGGTGCCCACTCCGGCCAACTACTAGGGCGAATTACGCAGGAGACTTTTACCCCATTGTCCAAGCGGCATTACTGTCGGCCTACTCTCGAAGGTGTGGTGGGGAGGGTGCAATTCGTGACAGGAGCACCATCACCCGGCAGTGTTGCAAAGTCCGCGGTTTTCCCTCGGAATTTGGCTACTTCAACGCCGCGGGTTTAAGCGACCTCAATAACGTGATATTTAGCCCCTAAAATGAGAATTTTACCAGGGGAACCCCACCAAATATGTGTATTTTACCCCACCGGAATGCGATTTTTACCAGGGGGATCCCCCTCGAAACGCCATTGGGCTAGTTTTGAGTAGCAATTGGGCGGGTTTTGTTGTGAAAACCTGGCAACCCTGTGCTACGGGCACTGTTGCCAACTCTAGCGAGACAAATAAGCAACCAAAGCTTCAAAAACAAGCCCAATATTTTTTGATGATTTATTATCAATATTATTTATCATCAATTATTTATTACCAATAAATGAGCCTGTAACATATTAAACTGAAACTACTCTTTTATCTAAAAAGCAAAAACAGAAGTTATTTGACAAAAATCAAAGTGGAAACAATACTCATCTCCAATCACCTGTGAGCAGGATTAGAGAGATGGAAAAGGAAAAGAACACAAGAGCTTCAAAGGGGAGCTGTTACAGTCACATATTTATAGCCTAATAAAATATATTCAAACCAAATGTATGTACTGTATGTATGTATTACTATAAGCCTACTTGTTTTTTATTACAGCCCGTGATAATACATTACAAAAACATTGTAAAAAAATTTAAAATTACCTTGACCTAAGAAAGTTATCCCACTCCCCTATTACGTCTACTATCATCACTTGGATTACAGCGTCACACTCCTTTTTGAACATGATGAGCAGAATATTTGATGAATTACGCTACAGCACTTATATTATTGCACTAATTGGCCTTTAACTGTGAGCAGACATAGTGTCAATCAATGCATTGGAGAGAATACGGCGAACATAAATGTAAAGAAACGAAGTTGCTTGTCAGATTTTCCTAACAAGCAACCATATTTTTTTTAAATAAGCCCAAAAAACAGCAACCCGCGACCCGGGATTTTTTCACGCAACTTTACAAAAAAAAGAAGCCCATAGTCGCGTATAATAAGCGGACTTGGCAACTGTGGCTACGGTGCGCAGAGTAGGCTACTCTGGGAAGTTCTTGTGTGAGTTATATGAAATCACAACAACACAGTTTGATTGTAAGGACAGAAATATAAAAAAAAAAATGCAAAGAATACAGAGTTCTTAACGTCCTTTACACGTCCCATGATGTACCTGTTGCAAATGAACCAATCGAATCACAGAATATTAAAGTATTGACTGAACTACTTTATTGACTACAAGTACATAAAAACATAAAAAAGTACATAAACGGGATATCGCATTTGGTCTCGTTCTGTATCGCGTATCTTGTCAGTGTCTGCGCTTGCTTGGCCATTTGTTGTGGAAAAAATAAGGAAAGTGTGTTCAAGCCCAGCAGAAAACAGTGTAAAGAAATACTCTTTGAGAGAAGCAGTCTTTATCAGCGGAAGTTAAAAGCAGTTCGTAAGTGTATTTACTTGTCTCATTAGTGTTTAGTGCAGTTGTCGTTGCTAGGAAACGCTTGTATTGTTTACTGTGTGGATCCACGTACTGATATCGCATTTGGTCTCGTTCTGTATCGCGTATCTTGTCAGTGTCTGCGCTTGCGTGGCCATTTGGAGTGTGGACTATGGCGCGCACTCCGTGCCAAAATCAAACGTCCGAATGACCGAACGTCTATCCGAACGTCTTGAGCTTTGAGCGTCTTACACTGCGGGTGACCCACGTGACGACAAGACGTGACGTCAGCTTCTTGAAACTAGCTGGTTTTTAAACATGTAAAGAGACATGCTGCTGTGTAAAGGCTATAAATGGACTTTACAGGCAATACATATAGATATTGTTCACCTAAAACAACACTAAATATTTTTTTTCTGAATCCTGTGCTTGAGTATGTGTTTTACTTTCAAAGAGCAGACATACTGTACGTTTTTATTGTTTATAGTATTATACAATGTTCACAGTGTTACATATAACAATCAAACAATTAAATTATTTATTTACTTTTCCAACAAAGGTTACAATTTTCAAAAATTTACATACTGTCATATTGAGAACATTTATGTCAAGAATATTAAACTACATACAGCAATTTAAATAAAGTTGTCTGCCAAAAATTATAAATATTGGGAGTTGTCATTACAGGTACAGGTTTAAAAACACTAAGAAAATATTATTTTTTTATTAATTTGTTCAATATTAAAATAGTTTAACATAAATTAACCTAAAAAGTGGTAACTGCTCATCCCAATCCTTCTTGTGTTCTACACAATAAGTACGAATCATAGTCTTTAAGGTTTGGTGGAAACGTTCTATAACACCCTGAGACTGAGGATGATAAGCACTAGACACAGCATGGGTAATGTTCAGTTCTTTCATTACCTTATGAAACAGGCGTGAAGTAAAATTTGTTCCTTGGTCAGATTGAATAACTTTTGGTAGACCAAAAGTGGTGCAAAATTTCACGAGGGCTTTCACAATGTTAGGAGACTTCAGAGAGCGTAATGGGATGGCTTCGGGAAATCTGGTAGCAGAGCACATCATAGTCAACAAATACACCTGTCCTGACTTAGTCTTAGGCAAAGGTCCTACACAGTCTATCACAAGCTTTTCAAATGGCTCATTTAACACGGGAACGGGCTTTAAAGGTGCTGGAGACACAACCCGATTAGGCTTTCCTGAAATTTGGCAAGAATGACATGAACGACAATACTGTGACAGAGGATTTCATTCCTGGCCAAAAGAAGTGTTTCAAGAGGTTATGATAGGTCTTCCTAACACCTAGGTGTCCTGAAAGTTCGTGGTCATGGGCTAAACTCAATATGTACCCACGGTATGGTTGCGGAACGACAACTTGAAATACAGAACTCCAATCATGTTTTACTTTCTCGGGACTCCACTTTCGCATGAGTAAAAAAAAAAAAATTTATTTTGTGTGCGAGTACAAACTCATCTGCAAAAACAGCAGCATCAGCCAGAGAGGAAACTTTCTGTTCATTCAAATAGACCACAATCTTCTCAGAAATACAATTTTTAAACTCCTCAACCAAGATTAACCCTTTTAACTGTTCAAAAGTCATGACTTTACTAGCATTGCACCAAATCGCATCATAATCCAAACTTTGTTCTAATGTTAGAGCGGAGCACACCTCCTGTGCTTTTCCTAACAGTTTGCACTGCAAAAGCAAAGGCCAAATATTTCTAGGCCACTGTAATGTGGTCGCGATGCGTTCAAAAACAGTGAAGTACGTGTCAACTTCACTCTCTCTGAACGACGGAACTAACGAGATTTGTTTACTAATATCGAATTCAGAGGAACTTACCAGTGCAGTTCGCGACACTGCAGGGAGAGGAGAGGATGCACTCACTGGCCCCGGAATAATATTTTCCTTTGCCTCCGGAGAGGGACGTGGAGCTTGAGCGGTCTTTATCTCGAGCTCCAGCTCTTTCAGTCGAACGTCACGCCGCGTCTCAAGCTCAAGAGCTCGGACCTGTAGCAGCTGACCTTGATACTGTTGGCGACAGAGTTCCAGCTCTAATTCCTTCCAGCGGACCGCCAACAATTTATCCTCCGATGAAGACGGGGGAACGGGATCTATGCCAACGACTACATCAGATTTGAGTTCCACCTCAACAGCACCCAAACCTTCAGATAGTTCTAGATTAGAAGCAACACCCGAAACCACACCCGCTTCAGGTAAGACCTTTTGTTTTACGAGCTCAGTGCATAACACCTCCTTAATCTCCCTTTTAAGTGCATTACGAGAAACGACGATATCAAAGAAATCTGCAATCAATAATAAATCATCTTTACAGCACTTATCAAATTGTTCATGTGTGGGCGCGATTGTAAATCGGTCCAATTCAAATTGACGACATCACAAAACCTACTTTTCCTCCCACACAAAGTAAAAACCCCAGGCAAACAAGAAGTTGAATAACGCTTAAATTACCTAGTTTTACTGCTGAAAATGTTCGGAGTTTCATCTGAGAAACAAAAACAGGACGAGCCCCCAATTTCATGTTACGCTCTAGGGTGTTCTAGGGTGAAGGCGCAACATGGAGTACGAGGACACGGAGGAGTTTTGGAAAATGAATGAACAGTATTTTAATTAAACAATGATTTTACAGTACAAGAGGAGGAATTTTTGCTTCAGGAGCCGACAACGCCAAAATAACAAACAGAAAACAACTAATATACAAACCTCTAAATTCCCTAGTTCACAAAATAAAATAAAAATAAAATACAATTACTTCCCTAACTTCCTATCCAAAAACAATCAAAAAACAAGGTTCCAACAAAAATGGCGTCGGTCTCCCTACCTCCCCAGAATACTATTATATACAATTATTTACAATGCTAAGTGAACAGATCCGAACAAGGGCAATCCAGAATCATAGTCAAAAAACAGGCGGAAGTCAGCAGTAAGAATAAATGGGCAAAGCAAACTAACAAACAACAAACAATCTCTCACCAGCGAACACTCTATTGAACACACACAGAAATTTTCAGTCTTACGAACACATGTAACTAACTAGCAGAGCAAACACAACAAGAGAGCACAAAAGCTGAAGCAGGAAGTGATGACGGAGTCTCTTATAGGCAGCAAGGAGTCAGCTGATCAGGCAGGGCGTGGCACCAATTAGACTGCAGGAACCAATCAGCTTCTTCCTGGACAGAAGACACACACAAACACTTCCCAAACAAAAGAAAACACAGAAGTAGAACAAAAGGGACGTAACACATTGTTCAGAGTAATACAGGCTAGACAGGGAGAGGTTAAGGAAAGAGAAAGCAGAATTTAAAAAAAAATTTTTTTTTAAAGGGGTCATACCAGTAGGTGGCGGAAATGCACCTTAAGCTGGTTTGCCAACCGCCATTAAACACAAAAGAAGAAGAAGAAGCTTCTTCCTGGACAGAACACACACACAAACACT